TATTTATGCATGCAACCAATACCGTGTTAATGTGTTCATTTAATTTGAAATAAATGCCACCTGACCTCTCTTGTTATTTTTTTAGCAAGTGAACATTAAGCTGCATACTGAATCAGTACCTCCATGCAAAGAAATCTCCCCCCCCCAAAAAAAATCCCTACTTAATTGTACCAGCACCCACTTGGTTTTCAAGTGTCATGTTTATGTAATCTGTCCCGAGCTGAAGTTCACCCCCAATCGGCCAAAAGAACGACAGGTGGTTACAAGGGGGTTCTTGCACGCGTTCTGCGTGTACGCAAAGACCGTACATGTACATGCCGGAGTAACTCAGCGTACTCAGCGTGCTCCGAGTCAAATGTGCATATCGTTGCGTTCCTTATGCCGCGCCTATGCAGCGAGTACCAAAAAACATGCCATCTTTTGTTCTGCTCGGAGCGGATAGAGAGCAGAACTATCACTTAGGCATAGTAACGTGACACAATATGAGCACTGTGTTCACACTTGGACAGCCTTGTTGTAAGATCGACTATGTACAATATGCACATGTACAGTATGCATTGTAATGTACATGTACATGTAAATATGTTATAGACACACATATTTGAATTTTAGTTGATGTACGGTATTCACATTGATGATGTTGATACGTGTCATTTCATGAATACTGTAGGACCACCTGTGAAAGGATTGTTGACGAGTGCTGGCCGTGCAGCCATTAATTACTTTCCAACCTGTGCTTGTATTAATTAATAATGTGCAGTAAAGATGCCGTAATGGTTTGGTGCCGTTTAGACGGACTGCGGCGCAGTCCGTCTGTTGATTCAGTTGGAAATTCTACATGTACATGGAAGAGTTTGTTTTACATGTATACCTAATGTCTCTTACCAATTTTGCTGATGTCAACGTATTTGTGTCGTAGGACTGTAGTGTGCTCACATGTACTCTGTGTGCTCTCCGTGAGGATTGGGATCAACAAACAGGGAAGGGTGGATATTTGAGAGGTGTGTCGTGGATACCCTCAAATGCCCTGTTTGATGTGGGTTGTGCAAACAGCTCAAGATACATGTACATGTACCTGTACGATTCCATATTAGCTGATTTGGAACGTAAAAAAAGTGTTTGATTTTCACACCCAGCAGGAGCAAGCAGGAATTAACCAAGTGTAGCATTGTGTAGTTGGGAGACACAGAGAAATTGAGTTAACATGTACATGTATAGTATGGTACAGTGTACATGTACATGGTGCACTGTGTATACATGTACATGTATATGTACCTGCTACACATATCTACATGTATGCACATGATTAGGGTTGCACATGTACATGTATATGCACCATACAGACTTACAGTGTAAATTCGCAGTGTCCACCATGGTCTAAATGGAGGGCTTATCTTCTTTAAGCCCAGATGATCAGGTGTATCCAGAGTAACATGTAGAGCTCAAATTGGTGTTTATGTTGTTCCTTTTGTCTTCCATTTGTATGTGTTCACTGTGTTCAATGTAGGCAGGGTGCTCTTCCTTCAGCAGCACAGGCACTGGGATTGGACTTTAACAGTGGTTTTTAATCAGTGTTAAATACACCTCCGATCCATCAAAGTGGGCTGTTCCTCAGATCCATCAAAATGCGTGGCTGACTTGGTAATTACTTTGACAGATTCGTGAACGCACAGCCCAGCCACAAGTGTATTATTTTGACCTTCAGTGATATCAGTCAGTGATGTCTTTCAGTGATGAGCGGGTCGAATTTAATGCTTCCAGGAAGCTTGCTAGTACAGATGTCAGGAAATTTTTTTTGTTGGTCAGGTTTTTGCCATCCGTTTTCATATCTACACTTCTGACTTGTATTACGATACCACCCATTTTTTCCCTAATTTTTTGGGGGGTTCACCAAGGCATCATTTTAATAAATACGAGGAGAGCTAAAAATTGCTCCTTAATTCACTTTGTTGGTTAAGGAGAGCGATTAATAAGTGCTCTCCTTAAATCAACAAAGTGAATTAAGGGGAGTGATTTGCTCTTGCTAGCAAAAACCAAGTTAATGTAAACAAACTCAATAAAATTAACACAATTTAACTTCTTTTACTGAATACAATGAGTTAACTTTAATCAGTTAAACCATCTCTCTTCTCACTTCATATATTCAGACAACATGTGATGCAATGGAGTTTGGATTGTGATTATGAATGATAAGTCTTAGAGGGCTCCAAGATAACATTCAGCCTGTGACTTAGACTGGTGCACCCATTTTCTTATAAACCGAAGAAAATAATGAAAAATTAATCCTAACCCCCAGGATGTATGTAAAATTGTATTGAAATTGGAGGATTTGGACTGTTAGGGTTTATATATGGATTTCTACAATCTTACTCATTTTTCCCACTTTTTTTTCACCTGATGGAGCTTGCTGAAATTTCGTCAAAATGTTCTTTATGCCGAAAATCAGTCAACGCAGTGGTTATGAATTGGTAAACATGTCCATGGTCAACGTATTTGCAGAAAATTTTATGGAAAATCCGCCTCTGATGTCGCTCCCGTTTGAACTCGCTCTGTGTGCGAACTCGCTCGATCCATGGCATCTACTGCATTGTTTGTGGGCGTGCATGTTGGTCCGTCATGTAGTCTTTCATCGTACATTGGTTTGGTGGACGTGGGTGCAAAACTTGACTAGTCTCCTCGCTCGCCCGGCAATCCATTTTGCCGTTAGAGGGGCTCTGAATATACTGCGCATGTGCATCCTTTCTTTTTGGTATTTTAAAACGTATTGCACGTCCACTGCAGATTGTATTCATCATCCCTTCCTGCGCTCACAATACTACTTTGACCAGTGCATTTTCATATAGAACACTGAGCACATTACCCGCCAGAGACTTTTTTCTTTCTTGTGACATACTTTCTGTTCTCGACACATGAACACGCAACAGGATCACACACCAACTCCAGCCACGACAGGGTTTTTCACAAACTCACTTCTGCTGTTCACAAACGGCCGAGAATGTAGCACCTGAACTCGACCCGTTCTGGGAGAGAGGTCGGCCGGGCGCGGCCAAGTGCGTCCATGGAATTCCATAGGCTCGCCCACATGCACTAGGCCCGCCCATATGTGCTGTCATGTTTGTTTGTTGCGATGCGGGATTCAAGCACGCGCGCACAACTCAAAGACTTTGATCACCAGCCCTTGTGTTTTAACACATCCAATCTTTGGACTCGTTTGCTACTGTCGACCCAACGAGATTCAAGGGGCTTGTCATAAATCAACATTTGCTGGTTTGAAAAAAACATGTACTCCTTAAATTTTTAAGGAGCGCTTTTTTTTTTGCTCTCCTTGGAAAACATTAAGGAGCGCAGAGGAGCGTGAGTGCGCTCCTTTAAAATGAAGCCCTGGTTCACACTTGAAGGAAGGAAATGTTGGATACATGTACAGTACAAATGCATATGTACATGTATATGTACAGTATATGTAAGCACTGTCGTACATCTCTCCTGAGAATGACCAAAGCATCCTGGTTGAAACACGGAATTGACAAAATTACTTTCTGGAAACTGCTGTAGACTGGAGTTTCCTTTTTTTAAAACAGTTTCTGGCAAAGCAAAGTTTCTTGGCCTGATTTGTTCTACTGGAGTTTCCTTTTTTAAACAGTTTCTGGCAAAGCAAAGTTTCTTTGCCTGATTTGTTCTATTGGATTTTCCTTTTTTTTAAAACAGTTTCTGGCAAAGCAAAGTTTCTTGGCCTGATTTGTTTTATTGGAGTTTCCTTTTTTAAACAGTTTCTGGCGAAGCAAAGTTTCTTGGCCTACATGAACAAATGTATTATGGCCTCTTTTGCACTGTACAATTTCTCATACGTACATGTACAAGTCACTACATTGTATAATATTTTGAGCCCCATTCATAGAGACAGAAATATTTGCTATGGTGGCTTTTCCTCCAAAGTCATTCCTGAAATGTTAAAGGTTAGCTCAGCGTGCCACCACAGAGTTGTTGGGGGGGAGTTGTGTGTATCCTGGCCTCTATCGCGTCATTCCATTGTCTTGCCCATGGACGTCATGGTTGCTGTATTGAGCATCTGTTGATCTGTGTAGTGATACACTTGACAGACGTACAGTGCATTGCAATTGAAGGTTAACCTGGGAATAGGAAATTCTCTTTACCCGTCTTTTCCCAAGGAGTTCATGTTCATTTCATAACACCAGAAACTTTTTCTACACAATGGAAACATTTAACAGGGTTCACACCCGTGGGGAAACATTTTCATGCCTTTTTGCTCAAGTGGGAAATGATTTTAATGCCTTGTGAAATGTGAATGTCAACATACATGTAATCCTTTCACAAAATGTCTCATTTCAAGTCACAGTGTACACTTTCAATTGCGATGTACTGTATACACACTAGGCAAAGTGCTGGTATCAAGATGTTGCTTATTACAAGGGACTTCATTTAAAAACAATTCATTTTCAGGGTGCCGATGTTACCAAAAAGAAATGGGATGGGCTTAGATATTATTGGGAAGTCTCAGAATGGGTGGTGTCCTACAGAGGCAAATGAAAGAAATGTCAAGTTAGAGAAATGTGTATGCATTCATGTGGAGTGTGTAATTTGTGCATGAAGGCAGCTTTGGATCGAGGTGTTTGTAATATTGGAAAAGAAAGTGAACCAAAGTCTTAAGTTTTAATAATATTTTGTCATATCTGACAAAAACATTGCCATACTGCGGTAATTGAAAATTAGATGAGTTGTTCTAAGAATCTAAATCATAAGGGCTCTTGTACACTAAGCTTTTCGTGATTTCATGAGGAATGATCCCTTGTTGATTTTGTAATTTTTTTCTCCGAATAAAGAACAAATACCCATGTTTTTCAGATGTTTCAAGTATTTCACAATAGATGTAATGGAAATGTTTCTGTGAAAAACATCTGCAAGATTGGTTGCTGACAGAATATGAAAAATCCCAACTGCATGATTAATGACAAGCTTGCCTGCTTTTTTCTGTTCTCTTGCAGTTGGTGACAAAATTCCTGCTGACATTCGGATATCCACAATCAAGTCCACTACGTTACGTGTGGATCAGGCTCTTCTCACAGGTTGGTAATTGATCAACAACACTTCTTTTTTTTTGAGTGGGATTTCTTGTGCTTACTTATGTGTACGTGCACCGTTGCTTGATTTGACTTGTGTTCAGAGGGTTGGGCTCCCGATCTTGTCAGTGCCGTTGAGCTGTACCGATGCTTTGCCACTTAACCTGTTTATGTATATGTACTTACATGTATGTACATGCCTTGGTCCACCGAGGAAACATGGAAGGGAACCAGTACTCTGATATGACTTCCATTGGTAACTCCACTGGGAATCTCAGATCTGGACTACCATTCAGGGATTTTTTTCGGGGCGGGGGGGACTCCTTAAGACGTTAAGAATATCACACCACATTTTTCTGACAACAAAGAGGAAGCTCCATATTCAGCTGCTCCTTTCACTGGCTGTGCTTTTTAAAAAAAAATTCTTGAACCCCTTCTTGACGTTGAGCATTGGATGCAAGTAATGAGGCTCAAATTTTCATTAAGACTTGGCAGCCCTGTACTTCGGCAGCATGATTCGCTAATGAGGCACTGAATGCGCTGGATTTGACAGAGCTGGCTTTTTTAGTTGTTAAAAGCCATTCCGGCACCCCCCGCCTCCGGGGTATGATGTACGGGATATCAGCTTCACTGAAACCATGGGAGGTTTCTCTTGCGCTGGTTGGCCTAAAAAAAAAAAAAACTTCCCTGTGCCGAGATGTTCCCAATCATCCGTGAGGAATGTTGCTGGCTGTTTGGAAGACGGCTGCCCTCTGTGCTTACAGCTTGGACCGTTCAGGATGCTAACTGGCCTTTGGCGTAATCTCTGATGTGTGTGCTCGTCTGAGAGTCGTGGAGACCAGTTGATATGCCTGGTATTTGTTAGGTCCCTATCAACGTGCATATACATTTGTACACGTACGTCTTGTCTTCTTATGCTAAATGTCGATCTTGCAATTGCTGGCATTTCATTCAAGTCCTGCATCAAGTCCAAACATGCCTTACGGTTAAAAAAAAGAAAGAAATCTCTTCGCCTTTAGAAAATCCAAACAGACAGCTTTCATTCATTGATCTTCACAGTCCAATTTCAGAAGTCAATCAAAGTCCTGATAACCAAACAATCGATTATTGTAAAGGCCAACTAAACTTTTGAAAACAGATTCTTTGAATTTCTGTAAGAATATCAGTGCAAACAGGTGAAGAAGATATGAAGTGGAACAAAGGAATTCTTTTTTGAATGACTTGTTCTGATCTTTCATTCCACTCCTTATTTTGGTTGAAACCGAAACTCATTGAAATGTTGGTCAGGCTCCTGGTTTAAGTACTAATGACATAAATGCTACAAAAGGTGAAGAAGTCCAGTCCATGTGTAATTTCACAACGGTTAACATTGTTAGAAAAGGGAAGAATCGGTGAAGATATTGGAGTAACAGATTAGTGTTCAAAGGGTTGTGCTAAGTCCGAGTGTTAGAATTGAAATACTTCTTGCCAGTTGGCTTAAGAATACTAAGGGCAGTTTATATAAACTTTCTGCCAATAATATTTGTGAAATAAAACACTCGGTTTGCCCTTTCTCAGCCGTCACATTGTTTCTAGTACAAGTAGATGAGTCAATCAAAATTATGAAATGTAAAAAAAAAAGTCTGAGAAAATCAACTGCACAGGTACACGTATCTCTCTGTGTATGGCCCGTCATCTTCATGTTTGCTTAGGAATGTCCCCATCTGTTGATGGTTGATTTAACATTTCTCTCCCTCAAAGGCCTAATGGAAAAGCCCTCGGCCTGGTTTTGGATTACGGGTTCGTTGACCAATGTCTTGGACATAAAAACAGAAAACAAACGCCCTCCCCTGTCCAACTTGGTCGCACTTTGTATAATTTGCCGCTGCAATTCTTCACGGAGTTCTAAAGTAAAGCAACCCACGCACTCCAGACTTTACCGGGAATGATACAGTACTCAACTGAATTGGCATTGGGCCAAGTGACAAGATAACCCAGCGCATCTCTGTGATCTGTTGCGATGCAGCCTGTCTCTTGATGTACAGATTTTAGGGATATGCCCAAGAGTATGCCTGTTCCAATGTCATTTGCCAAATCTCTCCATATGTACATGTACATGTTTGACAACCAGCAGTTAATTTTTTTTTGGGGGGGGGGGCATTTTCTAACCAGTTTTTACTGTGATATTGATTGATCTTTGATTAATCCATCAATCTCTTCATTTGTGGTTTTAGTTAGTCACTTACCTGTGTCATTGATTAATCAGTTATAAGAAGTTTTGTTACCACAGACATTTATGTTAAGGAAACACTGCTTGCTGAGTGTGTTTCAGCTTAGTGAACATTTGATTGCATTTATAAAGTTATTGATCAATCCATCACCCTAAAACCCTGAGGCATTCTCCATTATCTTTAGAATCCAGCTAGAGGGAACAGTATTGCTATCCAGTTCTACATTCACATACCAGACATGTACATGAATGAACATATACATTCTTTGTAGCAGAACCAAAGTTGACCTCAGTCCTCAAGTAAAGCAGTGATGACTTTGCTTCGTTGTAGAGATCTCTGCTAGATTTCAGCAGAACCACCATGCGGTAGGGGATAATTGCGGCACCCAATGACAGGTCTCCTTTTTCATAAATCTAGTCTCGAGACGCAAGTTAGGAAATTAAACTCCAAGTATCATCAAATTACATACACTTTTGTTTGTTAATCTGTTGAGTATATTTCTCTATTTCTTTCAGCAACGTTCCTCATCAATCTAATAATAATACCCGTTACCCACTTGTGTCAAGGACTGAACATGCCATACATGTACATCTCTCTGGCAACCAGTCTCGCAGTAAATTTACTCGCCCCAGGATCTGAGCGCTCGAGGAGAGTTTCATTCTTAAGGTCCACGATGCTTTAATCAAATTTCTCTCTTGAGTGCTTGTCTTGAGTGTAAGAGACGTACATTGTACGTACATAAAAAATGCACATACGGGTGCTTGGATAAGAATTAAAGTCCTCAGCTTTAAAAAAGATTTTTTTTTAACGTGCCTTTTCTATCAGATTTTATGGGAAATTGATTGATTCCCAATTTTAGTCTCGGTGCAATGATTCTCTGAATGCAAATTGTAGATGCTTGGGTATTTCTTTTCGAATGAAAAAAAGAAATTTCTGTTTTTAATTCATGTACCGGTATGTGTGTCGGCGTGTGTTGCTGCTGTTGTACCGGTACATGTATGCATGTATCGGTAGTCAGGGTGGACGTCAGTCTTTAAACTGAACTTTAAACTTGCTTAGCCAGGAAATTGTTGGAAGACGTGCTGTCACTGAAAAATGCTGTGCATCAAGCATCAAAGCCTTTTCTTTGATTTCCTCTTCTTTGACTTCTCATATGTACCCATAAAAATTTTCCCCCTTCCCCCCATTTTCATAAATTTTGAAATCTTTTACACGTGGAATGTGACACAAAGCCCAAGGAACCACGGAGATTGTGTACATGTATGAACAGTAACAAAATGTGCCCTGAAAATAATTTGTTGCCAGGAGGATTTTCAAGCTTCTTGTTCAACTCGGGCTTGGCCACAGTCCCCTCATCTGACACCTTTAGGCTGAGCATGGTGCCAATGGTACATGAGTGAAGATGACCATAGAGGTGAAGCAGAAGCCAGATCTCAAACCAGGATTTGAGAAGAATAGTCCTGCTGCTGCAGAAATGGGACTGTGCGTGGAGTAAATTGGTACATGTATCTGTTGTCTCTGATCGTTTCCTTATTTTGTCACTTTTGTGTTCAGGTGAAAGCGTCAGCGTGATGAAGCACACGGACACCATCCCCGACACCAGGGCCGTCAACCAGGACAAGAAGAACCTGCTGTTCTCGGTAGGTCTGCTTACATCTGAAATTTTTGATAAACATTGTTCACGGCAAATCCATTTTTTGTCTGGTTCCCTGAATCTATTATACACGTATTTGATGTAATCTGTTAAATGGGTTGATGCTAGACTGAATTGTTTAATTTTACAAAAAAATTATCATTGAAATTGACTTGAATTTTTTTTAGTGGGCAGGCAGTTTGCTTTAGAATGTGCTCCAGACTTACAATATTTTATGAATTTCAGTTAAGTGTCAGTCAGTTTTTAACTTGGTTTTTTTTTACTTGGGGCGCATTTCAGTGTGGGCTTAAATACACATTTATGAAGCTGTCCTCATCAGCTTACATCTGTTCTAAGCGCTTAGATATGTACTGGAATAAAACTTGAAAAAAGAGGGCTTGCCTTTGTCCTATTTTAAACATGTCAAACTAAAATGAGCCTTAAGCTTTTAAAAGCAAATGATTTTAACCTGATCCATTAAGTGCTACCGCCGATATTTCTGCTTAACATCTGCAATGATGATTTCTATCTGGGATTTGTTTCACATTTTTGTTGCTTGATGTATCACCGCTCTCAAGCCTGAAGTTTATAACTCTCAGCATCTCATTTCTTTTTCTCTCTCCGTTATTTGTGTCACCAGGGAACAAACATCGCCTCTGGCAAGTGCACTGGCGTTGTGGTGGGAACAGGTCTGAGCACAGAGATAGGTGAGTGGCCTCATTCAACCAAAAAAAGATGTTTTTTTTTTGTTGCCTGGCTGTCGGTGCTCAGAAGGTTCCTAGGAATTTAGAGGGAGGCTCTTATGGTTATGTCAACATGTGGACAACTTAACCAAGCTACTACGGGCACTTGGCAATGCAAAGATGTGCTGGCTTCTTTGGGAGATTTTTTTGGGGGCTCCAGAACTGTATTGCTTTTTCTTGAAATTTGATCCACACTGGATATCAGATATTTGTGTAGGAGCGAGGAGTTGGGATATTAGATTGTGAATGAAGGTATGATTTGAAAGAAAATCAGAGATGATATTGGCTGCGGTAATGTTATATGTAGAATTTAAAAATTGACTTAAGGGAGCATTTCAAAAGTATGCTGTATATGTACATGTAATAAGCCTTTTGCGAGTTAAATTTGAATAAAATCTGGTACTCTGAGTTCTTGAAATTCATGTGAACATAACAATTTGAATTCTCCACCCTACAGACACTGTTGCTATACTTTGTGATTCAGGGCAAGCTTTTCCTTAGTTACGTTGGAGACGCTTTGCTTCAGTACACATTTTTCAATAGATAAGAAGGGCACAAAGGAATCAGTCCATTCCAGAGGCGGTGGTCACCATGTGAAAGCTTTCCCTGAATAAACGAGGTGTAGCAACAATGTCCTTAGTCTGAGGAATTCAAATGTTATGTTAATATGCAAGTAGAGAACTCTGTGTACCAGATTTTATTCAAATTTAACTCACAAAAGGCTTGTTGCAGTAAAGGCTGTAGTCAGGAAGAGGTGGTATTGCAGTGTTCTGCCGAAAAATGACTCAATGTACTAAATCCATGTACATGTACCTGCACATTGGCAAGGCAGTGTGTTCATTTTCAAGCAAGGTAAAACTTTATGCTCCCTAAGATTATGCACAGGTTTAGCTTGGGCTGAGTAACTGCAAGGAACTTTGATGTTGCTTTTAAGCACTTCGATTTCAAGATCAAAATTGTAAATCAAACCAGTTGCTGTGGAAACAGAGGCCTTCAAATTGCCTCAAAACACCCAAGGGGCTTTGCACTGACTGCGGGTAGGAAGCATCTTCTAATTTTTTTCCCCCATCATCTAATCACAGTGTTTAGCGGTGACCTTACCTGTTTCCTTCTTTGTCCTTGTTTGATTGCCCCATCCAGCATCTTGCTGGCCCCTTTGAAAAGAGACCATCGTTTGCAAGAATGATTAATGATCCACTGGGGAGAGCACAAGAGTCTCGGATAATTGTGCGCTGCGCTCTCGCGGTGCAAATCTGGCTAGACTCCCATAGTGGCTGGAGGGGAGTTGGACTCTGGACAGTCAGGTGCAGACCACCATAGAGAATGCACATTGTAGACTTGGAATATGCTTGCCTGATTATATACGTGTACACACATGCAAGAAGTTTTTGATGAGAGAAACCGGTTAATCAGTCACTACTGAAAGAATCGCTTTCAAACAGCATACGTTAACAGTGCCAATCATCCATATTTCTCATCTTGGAAGTCTTTAGAAATATCAACTTCTGGATAAGTGTAGTTGACGAGACAGCAGTATTGAATTGCTGTTTCAAGAGGGCAGAATAGAAGGCTACATTTAATTGTCTTGGAAATGGTGCCTTAAATTTACAAGCAAGTGCAACTACAAAATTTACATGTACGTATCGCCTGCCGAAAGAATTTCATGCATACTCTGCAGTTTATTGCATTGGCACCTCCCCCCTCTACTTGAAAGAGCCATCTGATAGCATTTCAGGGACCTTTAGTTAACGAGATTTCAGGCAAGAGCCATATCGTTTCCTTTTATTCTTTCCTTCCGGAGAAGTGTCACCAGTCACCTGTCACTGACCAAAAGATAAAAATAATCATTGAGTTGGTTGATAAGCTCGCTTAATGGATGCGGAGGCTAAAAACAAACAGTGATAGCATTGATAAACTGGGAGCAGATGAGTTTGGAGGACTGATGCGCTTGATGTCCTCACTCTGGGGTTTGGGCTAGCAAGGATTCCTTAATAATCCCCGTGTTTGAATGAAGACAAAATCCTTGGAACCAAACTTGGGATCTGATGTGGATTTGTCCAGGTGCCTTGAGAAACAAGCCAGAAGCTGGTCAGTGACCTGCCAGCTACTGGCTGGATATCTGACTTCCTTAGGGTTCATAAGGCCCAAAGCACAGGCCGGCGTCATCTGCCCAGAAATACATGTATGTTCTGAACAACAGACCCCCAAAACATAACTTTTGCCAAGTAAGGCCCACAAGTTCATAAGGAGGAATATTTTGGGTCTGAAAATTGTCTTCTGTTGAAGAAGAGGAAGAGCAGTACATGTATGTTAATTTCATTTTCTTACATGTCCTCAGTGCAATTTCATTAGTGCACATGTACAGTTTACATGTACACTGTTCTACTATGTGAATGTAAATGCTACAGTAGTCCACAACTGAGTCAAACTTACTGACAAAATGGGAGACGGGACTGGTTAGCAGTGTTTCTTGCTATGGCAATTTGAGGCTGTAGGTTTAAATCCTGGTGTCAAGCCAGTTTCCCACTTGGTTTATTCGCTGTCATGGACAAATGATAATCACCGACAGGGTTTTGTTCTTTTTTTAACTTTTGCCTAGTACAATGTGTAGTCTCCCTTCTGTCTATTGAGCTTCAGTTGGTCAGTTGTCAAAACCTTGACACAGGTGCACAGCTGTGTGGTTGATACCGTCAACTCCCTGCTTTCTGGTCCCCTAAGCTCCCCCCTTCCCCTATGGTATGCACCCAGTCACTCCAGATGCAGTCGCCGGCCGGCATATATTGACACACGATGGTAACATAGCGTTGTTTCACGTCACCCGGACGGCTGGTCCGTCGCGTCGGCATGCTGCAGTGCGTTTGGTTGCTTAATGTCCACTCCTCCCCCCCCCCCCGAGTACCGTATTTTTGGCCTGTGCAGCACGGCGTATTCAGATTGCCAGCAGGCGGACATACCGATGGCAGTGGGCCGACGGGGTGTTACCGTCGGTGCAACAGCTCATCAGTCTGCACGATGACAACTGTCGCAGTGGAAGAGCCTGATGAGCTACAAGGAAGATGTCTGTGCTGACACCAAGCTGTGATTATTTAAATTCATCTTCTGTCAACTCCTGACCCCTGGAAATGATGCAGATTTTGATTTAAATGCGCGATCAGTTTGATTAATACGTGTACATGTACAATTCCCTTAGCATCCTTTTGTGTAACCTTTCTGTATAAATCCTCTTAACGGGTCTCAAAATTCCACACTGTGCAGGAAACCAATGGCACTTGTTCAGAACTATGAAAAAATCCAAGAACATGTGGCATCAAGCCTTGCGTGTACTTGTACATATACAGTGTACGTAGTAGTGGTGGTTGAGCTAATTTTCTACTAAAATGTCTGTAAGGATTTTGATGGATCCGGGATGGTAAAGGCATAACTTGTGATTTTAGGATCTGCCTCAGTTATTTTGCAATAATAAAATCCTGCTTATCAGCCGTGGCAGAATGTCTCTGAAAATGGACAGACACAGTGGACATACATGTACCTGTATGGTGTGTGTGTGCATGTGGAGGGGGGGTTAAAAACATTAGTACTAATGCTGAGAGTGTTCTAGATAGGCTTTGTTCACAGAAATGGTTGGAAAAAGAATCCATTTCTGTGAGGAAATTTTGCACACAGTTTGAGGCGAACGAGTCTCCCAGATACTGCGTAGTCTTATTTAACAAAAACCCAGAAATTATGATACTTCCTAGTTTCATCTGAGTTTTCCAAATACATATATGATGCAGCCACATGTGTCAATTCCTTGAAATGGATCTCGGGTCACCCTACTGTCAGGAAAGGTTATGTCGAAAAATGAAAACAAAAAGGACGAAAGAGAGAAAGAGACTTGAAAAGTAGGTTTCAAGATCACCCCTATGAGGCAAACAGATTGCCTGATAATCTCTCTAATGCACTGATAAATCAATCTGTTCAAATTTACGTGATGATATGCGACGTTTCTCTCACTGCAACCCATCTGCCCAATGCCAGCCGTGTATATCGTCAACACGCTCGTTTATATTTCCCCCTCTTAGTATTTATTTTGAATGGAGACCAGACAGCCGCAATCATGGAGGAAATCCACGGCTGTGGTCGTCAACAGTCAAGTACATGCACACATACCGATTATACAATGTACGGGCACACTTCATACCTCATCTCAACCAGTTCAGGCCTGTGCATGTCGCATGCATTTTCTGTTGTGAAAAAGCACACCTCGCTCCAAAAAAATGTTCTGGTACTTGTTGAAACAGCTTTGAAAATATGAAAGTATACTATACATGTACTTGTCAAGATCGAAACCTATTTCATTGTTGTATTAATTAAAACGTGGGTCTTTGTATAAATTTGGGGTCTAATTTTTTTCCAGTCCCTGTTACATCTGGTGTACAATTCTGGAAGGTTTAGGACACGTTCTTTAACTTCCAAGAGTGCTTAAGTAATATAGATTCCCTATTAAAACAAATAAAAATTGTTTGAAATCAATTTGAGTGATTTAGCTCATATCAAATTACAAAGTTTGAGTGAAAGTCAGATAGAAAGTGTCACATGTTGGATCCCAAATTGATAGAATGACCCACTATGCTATTCTTGACAAGGCTTACTCGGAAATTCCTAAAACAACACTAGTTATAGGGCCTCAATACATGAGCACATGACACGATTTCCTTGATATTTGCTGCTTGTGTCAGAGGTTAATGACTGGTCAGTTTGATCAAAATTTGTGCTCGGAAGGCAAGGCCATTTCATGGAATAACTCCATCATTGACGGCTTGTGCGATAGCCGACGTCACTCCTGCACAGAGGGGAGGCATTTCCCAGCAAGCGAAGGCGTAAGCTGTGCTGCAGCAATTTGGAACGACATATTTCAAGATGAAAGACTCGTACTCCAAGGAAGGGTTGCAAGGGCAGGATATTGGCAATCTTCTTCAAGTCTCCTCATGTTGACAAACCAAACACGACCGCTTTCTGCTTAGTCTAATTAACATGAAAGAGCCTGCACATGTACATGTTCCTGAAGTTTATTGTGAAGGGAGAATCTTTTGATTTGATAGAGTGAATGGATAACACGAATTCAGTTTAGTGGATATTGTTTTATAAGGTCTTATTGCCATCATGAGCTGTTCCCATCTTTATTCTGTTGAGTGAGTCCAATTGGCAAATAACTCCATCCTAGAAGTTCCTTGGTTACTTTGAATATTGTGCGATATTAGATTTCCCAAATTCCCAGATGATACCGTGGGAAAACACAATGTAGAAAAATGGCATCTGAAAAGAATGATGGAAGATTGGAAAATAAATACAACAAAGCATTTTATCATGACAATTGCTGAGATTTTTAATAGCAGGTTGTGAAATCAGAAGTCAACTTCCTATCTTGCCTTTTTTTGTTAAGTTGTTAATATTACCATAAAGCCTGTTGGTGAACATCAGGTCACCCAGCATAGTCAGTTGGAGAAGAAAGAATTTTTTTGTCCCTTGTGTTGGATGTATCACTTGGCTTCTTTTAATTTTCCAACAGCCAAGTTTGAAATGGGCTTGTTTGAGTATATGTCACTTCTAAACATTCCAAAGATAGATATTTGAATGCTGATGTTGGAGTGAATATTCAAATATTCGACACAACCCAAGTTGACACTCCCTAGGATTGAAATACATAAACACAAAATACAGTGCATATGAACTGAATAAAATTCCTGGAACTTGGTGCAAGGGAACAGAAAATAAAATGTGGATGTTGATGAATATACACACAGTGTGTTTGAATCCATAAGTTGTTCCTGCAGGTGTTGGGGTGACGTTATCATTTGGCATCAGTAGCCGGCGTGTTAACGTCAAAACCTATAATGCTTAAGGTTTTATTTGTTTCCAGAGTCAAGTGCGAACACTGGCCTCTGCTGTCGGCCGTAAACCGAGTCAATAATGGCTCACAAAACATGCAAACCGATCATAATGATGATTGACGGTGGAAAGATATTGGGAACAGGTGTTCGTCCGTGTGCGTGCATCGCTGGGACGTGTACGCACATGCATGCATGCGTGGTTGAATCTGAGGGAGCGATGCTTACACGTAGGCGGTAGAATGATTAAAGAGACTGTCTCATCTTGAAAGTTTTGGGTAAAGGCCGCAAGTGGCCCTCCAATCCGTGCAGTGTTTGCCATCCCACTTTTGCCCATACAGTTGGCACCCAGCATGGCAGAAGGCTTAGATGTAGTCCTCTGGGTACACTCAAAATCCCTTGCAATCATAAGGTTTGTGCACAAACACGTAGTTAGCAACTTGGTGTACTGGTACCTTGAAAAAATAACTGACCATGCTTGTCAGACTTACATTTTGAATGTTGACATTAATGTACATGTATGCCAGAATGTATTTGTCGAGGTACTCCTTGTGTGAAACACCATAGGCAATACATATGCTGAATGTTTATGTATGCACAATATTGAATTCAATCTGGTCCCCAGTCCATATACCTGTACTTTTACATGTGTATGCACATGTACATATACGTATGTTTGGGCCAAATTTTTGGCAGAGTTGGTCTTACCACCCAAAAATTCAGAAAAAGAAAGCAAAAAATCGTACAGGCTTCATGCATTGCAGTTATGCATGTCAGTTTTCACTGGTATGTGGTGATGGAATACCTTATGTAGTCATTAAAAGTAGTGCCTCCTGTTTTTCTTTGTTAATTTCAGGCAAGATTCGGACGGAGATGGTTGAGACCGAGACCGAGCGCACCCCGCTGCAGCAGAAGCTGGATGAGTTTGGCGAGCAGCTGTCCAAGGTGCGTTAGTTAAATCTTGCCCCTAGACTCATGTCAGTAGCTACATGTAATCTGCGGCTTGGGTTTACAGCTTCAGGGAGTAACTGGCCTAGTTTCTGGAGCTGGTCAACCCTAGAAAGGCAGTCGCGCCTGTCTCGCCTTCACCCCTAGCCCTACTCCATCCAACTCTTCACAGTTAGCAGCATCCTGAGGAATTTGGTCGTTCATTTTACCGACGTAATTCTTATCCTTGGATTCTGTTGGTCATGTTGGATTGGTCAAAACCCAATTGTATCAATAGCCAAAACTTTTGGGTAATAAAAGAGCTGAATTGTTATTTATTTTTACAAAGCCATGAACCTCTCTTGCAGTCCTGAATCAGTCTTTTGATCTGTGCTTGTTTCCTCCCCCAGCGGGAGTTTTGACTGGCTTTAAATCAAGACATTCTCAGAGAAACAAACAGTGGGCTGTTTGAAATATTTAGTTTGACGTTTCTTCTCAGAATGGCACGTAATTCCCACCTGAGCAGATTTATCACATACTGTAGCAGTCCGTCTGTCCGGGAAGCAGTTTGTGTTTCCCTGTCTTGCTGTGATAAGCGGTGGTGCAACTGGTGTCGTTTAGTGCAATAAGGGGGTAAAAATGAAGGGGGTTGGGGATTTCAGGGTTCCCGCGGTTACAGGGAAATTCTGGAAAAAAGCTGTCGAGGGAGGTCATGGAAAATTTGTTAAAAGTAGGGTGTCCCTAGAATCCTCTTGTCTGAGGGAAAAAAGTCATAGGAATGAAAATCATACAAAGGCTACCTGTTCTTCTGATGGGCCACTTGTGTGTAACGGAGGAATGATAAATTTACAAGCTATCCATGTCAGTCGATAGTAGTGGCTGTGGCAGTCTTGCGCTTCATAACACCAAACAATTTTTCTTTTCAAAATTCTCTTCATTGTCATGGAAGCTGTCATACCAGCTATCTTTATAACCCTAGAAAGTCGTGAAAAGTCATGGATTTTTTTTCAGATTATTTAATTTCTTTTCCTTAAGTGTCCAAAGAGATCCAGAATTTCTTCTCACCCCTCTGTAAGGCTGTATAATGTTACCTTCTGGAAAATTCCAAATATTTTGACCTTCCAGAAAACTTCTTGACCCTTGAATCTGGTTTTACCCGAAGTTGGGTTCCTAGTGCTTACGTGTTGTTGGTATGCAGAATTTGCAACTTAAATTTCTTACGTATGTTCGGATGTGCAAAACCATCATTGTGCATGTACAGTGCACCAGTACATGTACCAGTGCATATAGAGCAACCTAAGCGAACCAATCAGTACTCAACTTATTTCCGTGTTGTTTCATATTTTTGTTAGCCTGTGTCATTGTTTGTGGTGTGCTGTTTGTTCGTTTATTTTCATGTACCAGCCCATGATGAACTTGCCCTCGGATGTCGTTCCTCCTTGGAACTATCTGAAGATTTCTCATAATTCCTCGTTCTGAGGCTGATACGTACATCCAAAAGTTTTGTTGAGCTGATGTTAATCGGACAGGGGCAGTTAATTTCCTGTTGGATGATGTGGTGGTCCCCAAAGACTGAAATGTTAAGGTGTATTTAACGTGTGGGTTTCATTTCAGGTCATCTCCATCATCTGTGTGGCTGTCTGGGCCATCAACATTGGTCACTTCTCCGACCCCTCCCATGGTGGGTCCTGGGTGCGCGGCGCCATCTATTACTTCAAGATCGCCGTGGCCCTAGCTGTGGCTGCCATCCCAGAAGGCCTGCCTACAGTCATCACGACGTGCCTGGCCCTGGGTGAGTTGCAAATCTTTCTTTCTGTTGTTTTGAGTCCTGCAATGTTTATTATTTGGTGTCTGTGTGTTATTGGTCACCCCTGGTACTCGGTAATAGTAAACGTGAGAGGGAAACCAATGAAATTGAATGCCTTCCAATGGAATTTTTTCGATTAAAAAATGAGCCCAAAAGAATTGATTTTGGTAATCATTTGATACCTTGTTTGAACCCCTTCTCGGCGGGAATTTCTTTCCAAAAGCCGACTCCAAGAATTCCAGACTCGCTTGGCCACGAAGGCCGACTGCCAAACTGCAAATTCTCAGTTTGTAGCCCAGCGTGCTCTGCACGTTTTGAATTACACGGTGAAAAGGCTGATCATTCGGTGGCATGCGGCTCTACTCAAGCTTCCACATTCCCATTGCCTCTTTTCAAAGTGGGGGCTATTGTCATTTCTGGGCTACACACAAAGACCAATTACCATATACTCAAGAGCCAGGGTCTGCCTTCTTTCATTTTGTTCGCTCGAACGTGGGCCGAGAATGATAGCTGAAAAGCGGGCTGAGGATCTCAATTTTTACGGCGGCTATGACCGCCTCCCGGTGTGAAGGGATTAACATGTAAGACATGAGTGCTGTTAAAAGTTTTGGCCATTAGGTTAGAAAGGTTCATATTCGCTGCCAAAGGAGCTTTTTGGTTTATTAGTGTCGTATGTACATGTACAGTTTGACTTGTTCCAAGATACATGGGCAAGCTTTAATGTAACTAACCAAACCGTGACTAACTTTGATCTTTTGCAGTGCTTTTAAGTGATAAGAACAGTTTAGAAATGTTTCAAAATGGTAAGATGTTGTGCTGATCAGGAATATGGCCTGCCTTTGATTCTTGCTGGAACCTTTGGTCAGAGTCAAAGCTCATTATCACTGTCATGAAAATGACACCTCATATTGTCGTCATTGCTTTGTAGGTACTCGTCGCATGGCGAAGAAGAATGCCATTGTCAGAAGCCTGCCCTCTGTTGAAACCCTTGGATGTACGTCAGTCATCTGCTCCGACAAGACAGGAACTCTCACCACCAACCAGATGTCTGTCAGCAGAGTAAGTGGCGGCCATTTTGGTTTGAACTTTTGAACAATTAGGACTTAGACAGGAACATTGGAGTAGTATATTGGCATTGTAGCCAATTTTGTTGGTTTTGGTTTTTGTTTTAACCCTGCCATGTGGGAGCGTGTGCCCAGATTTTTGATTACAGTTCTTACTGAATCAAACTTCAAATCTTTTACGTATGTTTGCTGGTTTTTGGTTTTGTATTCTGGTGCCAATAGCGTCAGTTTTTCTGCACATCATCAGTACCTTTCAACCAGATTTGAAAGTCTATGAGTTGTTGTCTCTCTCATTGGAAAGAGTTACTTACCTGCATGGTCCAGATTTGAGACTTTAAGCATGAATAGTTTTATGCATTCATGAGCTCTCTGAAAGGAAGCCTTTCTCGTCACAAAATGGTTTCCAAAATAAATGAACAGTACACCAAATACTCAGTACATTGTTTTTGATGTCATTATGGGCTCCGGGTGTTTACTGCAAAAGGATCAGACTTTTGCACCCACTGTAGGTTATAGGTTCTTTGGCAAATGATTGGGAAAGTTTGCTTGCAGCCTGTGATGAACATCCCATCCGATTCTGTTCTTCGGAACATCCTGAAGATTTCTATAATTCCTCGTTCTGAGGTCTCTGCATGCAAACAAGAAAGTTTCTCAAGACACAAAGCTTAAACAACACATCGCGGAGATAGGCCCAGGCCAAATATTGTCCAACTCGATCCTGACTTGAGTTTCTAAAGAATTGTTTCTTTTCTTCTCTCCCATTGCAGCTGTTTGTCATGGACAAGATCCTTGGTGAGAAGTCCAGCTTCCATGAATTTGAGGTCAGCGGGGTCACCTACGAACCCAAGGGCGAGGTGTAAGTATTCTAACAAGGCTCTCCATGCTTCATTAATTTTCGTTCTGTTCAGAAAATGAAAACTGTTTCCCCCCATTTCTTTTTCGGGGGGGGGGTAGATTTTCCTGAAAACCTGTGCTGATGTAGTGTAATTTCCTTGCCTTTTCTGTATTCCCGCTTAAATAATTGCCTTTGAATGCCGAAAGACACTTGACAGCAGGGTTTTGCAAGTAGGTTTTACAATAAACATTTGAAAATCTTTTGGCTGGCTTTTGCAGTGATCCAGAACTGTACAAATGCCTCGCCGGTTGTCTCAGCACCCGCTCATTTTCAGCCTTGAAAAATATGTGTTTGTGTACTGCACATACTGTACCGGGTAGCTTCATTGCCAGGAATGTGGCCCATGACAGTATTATTAATGATTGTTTAAACTGTACCAAAAAATGCTCCTGGCCAATCCACAAGAACTTTAAGGGGTTAATGAGCCAGCGTTAGACACTACAAGCCTATGATGAACTTTCCGGTTGAAGTTATTCCTCCTCGGAATTTCTCAAGTTTTGTAGGGACCTTGTTGTCTGAGGATTGTTGTCCTTGGAGGGATGACTCACAGGCGCTGTTGATATGTGGAAAAGCAAGTCATAAGGTGCTGTTTGACGGAATTTTTCATATTGGGGAGATCTTTGTATTAATTGGACACTACTCGTAGTTTCTGCCTTTCATAGTACCAGCAGCAAGTGTTGATGTTGAACAGTAAAGACCGAAGCAGTTTTTTTGTGGAATAAGTTTTACAGTTTGTGATCTGCACTTTGATGAACAACCCTTGAGGTCATAGACATTCATTATGCTGTCATGAAGATGGTCTAGAAATGTCATTGAATTACATGTTTATTGCCCTATTAGGGACCCATGGCATACAAAATTGACAATATTGTACATTTCAGTTGTTACATATGCAAAGTTATTCTTTGTGACACTGCATTGTGTGCTGATAATAGGCTCCTTATATACCTACTTTTCTTCGGCCGGGGTTTGAATCCCACCTACATGTAGGTACTAGGTCTGCATGTGGATTGGGTTTTCATTCCCTACCCGACTCCATGGGTTTTTCCTGGAATATTTTTCCAGAGTTTTCGTTCCACATCTGAAACTGAACATTTCTTCGTTGTCACTCAAAGTCAAATGCCGAATGCCGAATAAAGAGAATGAATGTAAGTCTTTCCTTTGTTTGCAGACACATGAATGGTAGCAAGGCCAACCTGGCCAACTATGAAGCCCTTCAAGAGCTGGCTACCATATGTGCCCTGTGCAACGAGTCCAGCATTGATTACAATGAGGTGTGAAACTAAAATAAATCATTCGAATATCACTTTACGCATTTGTGGAGCTGTTTGTTTCAGATGGCCCTTATCGGAATGTTTAAGTTGGAAATGAGTAAAGCCTTATGCGACAGACTTGGATGTGGCTAGAAATTACACACAAGTCTATGGCAGTGGCTGCAGCCAGTTCCCGCAGAGTCAAGTCACAGCCTTGTAATTTAGACGTGGCCTATGGCTGTGTCCAAAAGTTGCGGCTGAGGCTGGAAATAGCAAGGACATGTATGCCCGTGAGAAGCCACAGATTAGTGGTTGCCGCTGTGGCTTCTTGCCATAGATCTGTGGCACAGCCACAAGTGGTTGATTTGGGTACGGCTTTAATAGTTCAAAGCATCAAACTGAATATATCCATCATTACTGCTTGTGGTTATTTATAAACCTTTCAGAGCACTGCAAATCAGATGTCTGGTTTTGTGATCAAAGCCCAAAGCCTGTGATGATTAGTTCCCATCTGATGCTAAACCCCTGTGGTTGTTGAGGATCCTATGAATTCCTTGTTTCTGGCCAAACTCTCAAGTGTAACCCAGTAATAAATTGTTAATAAATTTGACTGTGAAGGAAGACACACCTGGATTCTCTAATGTCCACACTGGGGTTGGCTGGTATCCACAGTTTGGCTACGTTGTTCCCCCAACTGGGTGTATTCACAGTTGGGCTCTCGTGTTGTCACATTTGGGTTCTTCATCGTGTCTGTCCACTCTTTTATTCTGCTGTGTCCTCATTTGTGTTGCTGTTAGTGCACAGTTGGTTCTAGCTTGTTCACATTGGGGTTCTGTTCTTGTGCCCCCACTGGGAAGCTGTTGACAGCAATGCTGCCATGTTGTGTCCATTGAGTAGCCATGTGCTGAAAAGTGCATAACGGTGGAACACTTAACTTTAGGTGGTTTATGCCATCAAAAATGACTTTTCACATTTGCCATCATAAGCCACACAAAGCTTCGCGGATCGATTGCAAAGAAAGAATAATTTGACAGTAATTTGTAAAACTAATTTTTTTTTTCTCTGCTCTCGTCGTCATCCTCCCAAAGGCTAAGAATGTCTATGAGAAGGTGGGTGAGGCCACGGAGACGGCACTGACGGTCCTGGTGGAGAAGATGAACATCTTCAACACTGACCTGGCCGGCCTGGATAAGCACCGGCTGTCCAACGCCTGCAACCTGGCCATCACCTCCCAGTACAAGAAGGAGTTCACGCTGGAGTTCAGCCGCGATCGCAAGTCCATGAGCTGCTATTGCACGCCGACCAAGATCACCAGGTCGGCTGGCGGCAACAAGATGTTTGTCAAGGTGAGAGATCACCTCAGCTCTTTGATTCGATTTTTAAATTTAGTTCAGTAGAACATGCTTCAATGAGAAATTGAGACACCAAAAACAGCCCTGTAGGTCCTTGTTACCAAGATGCATCCTCAATCATTCAAAACCCTCCATCTGCCTCTAGCTAAAAACTGAATACAGCCTTGTTCCTCCAACATCCTAATTTTTTCTTAGATGTTCTTACCTTAGTCTTGTGGCTGTTCCTTCCGAATCGTTGAGACGATGCAAATGAGATCTTGGAGCAGTGAATATGATTTGAAGTAGGCCTAAATTTATTTATGACTGAGCGTAGACAACTCCAGGACCTTGGCATGGTGCATCCTTTAAATCAACCACATATTTTTGGCCATTCAGCCGTCATGCTCCAAGAGCCTGCAAGAGAAACACAGCCTATTTACTCCTGACAAGGGGGCCGACGTTGTTGGTTTTTTGCAAACTGAACCAAGTTATAAAGCTGAGCCAGTGATGATTCATTCCCATCCTATGCCCTCCCTCCGGGGTCGGTCGCTGTGGATCACATGAATTCCTCGTTTCTGAGGCTCACCGTCCTTTACCAATTTATCGGATTGATGATATTTCAAACCCATCTTCACTTCTCTGTCAAACAACCCACAATCTTGATTTATTCTTTAAATTGGGCTTGATTTGTGTTTGATACTTACTGCTGGCAAGGTCAAATCCTCAGAAAATAAGCACCCAGAAATTGACAGAAGGTCTTTATCAAATTGTAAGCCTTTGTTTAACGTTTTAACCCTAACTGTGCTGAATCAACAAGATTCTGTATGATCGTAACTTTGAGGGTTGGGTTCCAGGCTGAATCTTTCTAATCATCAAAACTCCTGTAATAAAGTTATGTAGTTGTTGCCGATTACTGAGGTAACGATTGTAACGCTGTTTCTGTGATTGTCCAGGGAGCTCCAGAGAGCATCTTAGATCGATGCACCCACTTACGCATCGGCATGAACAAGGTGCCCCTCACCCCAATCGCCAAGCAACAGATTATCGAGAAGATCACTGAATATGGAACAGGTAACCCCGTCTGATCCCTACATGAAATGCCGTATCTCTTCGAAATATCAAGTGTGGGGCCTTTTATATTTTCTCCTGCCCGTCTAATTCTATTCAATGAATTAAAGCGGCAGGGAAATCTTTTGACTACAGAAAAGTTCTCCAACCCAGGGGGTTGATGCAAAGAGAGGATGTTATATACTGAGCTTTTTGTAATTTCCAGATCTGTTAGATGATCGATAAATGAAAGAACTGGTTCAACTCTTAAATATGCATGGTATGGTAATGAAAGCTGTTTCCATGTCTAATCTTAAGGTCATAAAACTTAGCTGTTCTTTTTAGGCGGGTCATGTTCTGAGTATGTTTTGGATGGTGAAATATTTAGATATATATGTTTGTGTGTGCCCAAAGCTGTTTGATATTAACCAGTAGAACTGTGGCATCTTTTTTAAGCACTTCCTGCTGGGGCATTCATTTATCAGTGTTGATGATGCTGGGGTGGGATATTTATCATTTTTTTTCTGTTTTTAAAATTCTTTAACAATTCCTATCTTCATTTACTGGACACTTACAAGCACGTGGAGGCATGTCTGGTGGTAAAAAGAGCCCAGATTTTGTGGGTGTTATGTAATATTCTTTTGTTCACGAACCTGGCTCAGTATGCTGCTGACCTCTTTTCAATAGGGGCCAGATTAGCATGCAGCGGTACTGTGTGGCTCATCGCTGCAGTGGTGGAGTGCTTTTGTCCCCGGTGGTAATCCGCTTGCTCTAAATGGCCCAAACCATGGTATACTGTTTCAAAACAAGGCAGGATTATCTCCACTTTTGAGAGTGAAAAATGTCCGTAATGCCCAGCAGCCTGGTCTTTTGTTCTGAGTACCATCTTTTGTTACAAGGCTTTGTTCCCTTTGTCCGAGTTCGGAGACCCCGACCACGCATATAAAGCATACGTGTCCGGATCCGGAGTCCCCGGCAGGAAGTGGTTAATAGTAGTATGCATGAGAAGTAGTCAGTTACCAATTGCCTTCCCTGCCTGTCCAAAGGCCGTGACACTCTGCGTTGCCTTGGTCTGGCCACCGTGGACAACCCACCCAGGAAGGAGGACATGGACCTGGAAAATGCCAACAACTTCATCAAGTATGAGGTGAGTTCCTAGCTCTTGTAACTTTGAATTGCCTTGAAGTTCAAGACCTGATGTGATATCTAGGATAGGTCGGAACTTGGTTCTGGAACGGATGAAGTAATTTCTCTTTTGTCAACTGCACTCGTACTACGTCTGCCTTCTTATTGTGACTCTTGTGTTACTGTATTGTCATTTCTCTGTCGGGTTTTTCACCTACAGACCAACATGACCTTTGTGGGCTGCGTGGGCATGCTGGACCCACCCCGCAAGGAGGTCATCCACTCGGTCGAGGCCTGCAATGAGGCCGGCATCCGGGTCATCGTCATCACGGGTGACAACAAGAACACGGCGGAGGCCATCTGCCGGAGGATTGGGGTATTCACTGAGACCGAGAGCACGGCCGGTAGGTTGAGTGCACCCCACAGTGGGCAAAATTCGACTCAGAAAGTAATTGGACGTGATCACACTTGCCCAGTCTGCCCTGTATCAAAGTCGCGTTAACTTCCAGGTTCAGAGTGTTAAGCTGTGTGTTGTATGCTATTACTGTATTACCAGATCTATTTTAGGAATCGGAGAGATGGGTTCAAGAGAGTCTTGAAGTCACCTTTGTGTGCCGTGAGCGCACTACGACCAAGCATTTCCATTTTGTTGGACAAATAAGGTGCACTCTTGCGGCCAGGAAGTGGTCATTGTCTGGCTGATGTTTCACCCTCTGCTGTGGCGTTCCATGTACTAATACAGCATTCACGACACAGTGTCTTGGCACTAGTAGACAGTAGTGAAAAGTCAGTCTGGTCACTGGACAAAATTAGCTGATACAAATCACTGCCACAAACAATATGCTTCTAGTGAGCTATTTGGCATGGAAACCAGTTGTTGCTGTTCAGAAATATCCCAAATGACACATTGGCTTTCACCTGATCAGGTGGAAACCACAGTTTGTAAATTCAACTAGAGCTTCATCTGAACATTAATCCCAAGGTCGCCCTACTCTCACACACAATCACAGGGGTAGCCACCCCCAAGGGAAATAGAGAGCCTGTGATGATTATTCCCTTCAGATGCAATTCTTTGCGGAAGAAGATTGTACGAATTCCTCGTTTCTGAGGCTCACAGATAATGAGAGACATTTGTGTTTACGTTAGTGGAGCAGTATTTGGCCGAACACTATACATGCATGGGGTTTTATAGCTTCCAACAACATTGGGATGGCTTGACAACTCTTGAAAGAACACTTGTACTTTTTTCGTAGTTGTTGGAAGTTCAGACCTTACTTCAGTCATTGTCGTATTTTGTATCAACCAAGTATTGATGTCAAGTGATTTTACTCACTTTCCTTCTCTGTTGTGTGAGGCGATCAGGATGGGTTCAGGATAATGATCGCAATTTCTTCCTGCTCTTTTTTGTTTTGTCTGATTAGGCTTGTCGTACTCTGGCCGGGAGTTTGATGACCTAACCCCAGAGGCCCAGAGCCAAGCCTGCCGGGAAGCCAGGCTCTTCTCTCGAGTTGAACCAGCTCACAAGAGCAAGATCGTTGAGTACCTGCAAGCACAGGGCGAAATCTCTGCCATGGTCAGTTGGAAAACTAGTACCGAAACTCTGTTTCTTATTTTGTGTATTGATATCAGTAGTGCTTCTTTTCCGTTACAAGAACGTGAAGTGAGATTTTGCTGGAGTTGAATTGAATTCAGTAACAGCACTCATGACACTGGATCCTGTTGGTTTGAAGAAGTTTTTCCCAGAGAGAACATCAGGAGGAAATGTTCCCTTTTTTATTGATTAGTGTTGTATTCAAGACCAATCACAAGACTTTCTTCAAGTAACAGGGTGAACATTGGCAAGGGAATTGTTCTTGTTGTGCTTCATCTTAATAGCTTGTGACTGGATTACTTTTCGCTGTACTGGCATCCAGTTCATAACAATTCACAAAGTTTTTACCTCTTTTTTTCCCCCTTTGCCATGCCTAGACTGGTGATGGTGTTAACGATGCCCCTGCACTAAAGAAAGCTGAGATTGGCATTGCCATGGGCTCTGGTACAGCAGTGGCCAAGAGTGCTTCAGATATCCTTTGCATGAAACCCATAAAACAGATTTTTTTTGAGGTATATATTCACCCTTTACTTCGGATCCTTCAAAATTGGCAATTTGGTTTGTGAGGATTTTTTTTTTGCAAAAATGGAGGTACAGCTCACAGAGTACCTGATGACTTGAAACTATTGGTCTCTTTAAAATAATAAATAGACAGCAAGAACATGTGGGTCCCTTGTATTGCTGGTTTTTGGAGGATTCAGGATGGGTTCTATAAAACCAAAAATGCCCAGTGAGCTTAGATTTCAGGATATAAGCACTTGATCCTTGACTCCTGAAAGTACAGATGGTGTTGGCCGACGATAACTTCTCCACCATCGTGACGGCTGTGGAAGAGGGTCGTGCCATCTACAACAACATGAAGCAGTTTATCCGTTACCTCATCTCCTCAAATATCGGCGAAGTGGTCAGGTAAAAAAACCACAGGAGTCTTGAATAATTGCTTCCTCTCTCTATCTCCCCTCCTGGAAAGTTTGATGTGAATCAAATATATCTGGTTTGTTCCCCTTCCCAAAGAAAAAAAAGTCTAGTCCAAAGTCACAGGAAAGAATGTCTAATAAAACAAGGGTTCACTAAAGTTGTTTTCACAGGGTACCTCAGAAAAAGCCTGTTAAACCTCATAAAATTTGTTGGTAAATCTAGAGTTAACCGTTTGTTTAATTTTGCAGTCGTAGGTACCACTGCAACTCTGCTCGTTTTGTTTCGGTTAGCTGTGTATTGCATCTTATATGTATGTGTTGTTATTTTGCATCCCGGTGCAGTGATTTCACCTCTGCCTTGGTTTACTGAGCTGTGCAAAATTTCTGGCAAAGGTGAAGCTCTTCGATGGCTTCCCTCAAATTAAGTTCTTTGAGAAACTATTTATGATCCTTTGGGGACAGTTTTGTCAAGTTCATTGCAAGTCCTTTTTACAAGACCTAACAACTGACAGGTCGACACAGTGATCAAGGAGTGCTTTTGACCAAGCTAATCTGAAGAGCTTGTGGCTTGATGTACGACTGCACAACTTGGGATGGACGGGCTGTGGGACTGGGACAGTTCTCAACTCCAACGCGATTCCAACACTGCTCGTAGTGATCCACTCTGTTCACGAAACCAATCTGGACTTTATTCCCTTACCCTTCCTGCTCCCACAGCATCTTCTTGACGGCCGCCTTGGGCATGCCTGAGGCTCTGATCCCGGTCCAACTCCTCTGGGTCAACCTGGTGACGGACGGCTTGCCGGCCACTGCCCTCAGCTTCAACTCCCCAGACATTGACATCATGGAGAAGCCACCTCGCAAGGCCAACGAGCCCCTTATCAGCGGCTTGCTGTTCTTTAGATACATGGCCATTGGAGGTCAGTGTTTGAAGCTTTTTTTTTTTCTCGATAACGCCCTAATAGAAGTCTTCCTCCATTCTCCAAAATACTTTTTTATAAAGAAAACTAGTGTGGATTTTTTGGTGCTTCAGTTAAAAATTCTCTGACTTTTCTGTTTCTTATAGTTTACGTTGGTGCTGCAACAGTCGGTGCGTCTGCCTGGTGGTTCATGTACCACAAAAATGGTCCTGGCTTGTCCTTCTGGCAGCTGGTAAGTACCTGTCACTTGCCGTCCGGTGGCCAAGTCAGTTGACACGAGCTGAGTCTCATCTCGGACCATTTTTTTCTGTTGCAGTCACATTTCTTGTTTGTTCATCTCTTGCCAGACCCATCACATGCAGTGCCCCTTGGAGCCGGAAAATTTCAAGGGCTTGGACTGCGAGATCTTCGACGACCCTCACCACATGACGATGGCCCTGTCCGTGCTAGTCACCATTGAAATGCTGAATGCGCTAAACAGGTATGCTGGCCTCAGATCTGGTAGGATAATCTGTGATGTTTTAGCCCCATCCTGCTTGTCGCACCGGTGCCTCTCCTGTGATTTCTGTCTGTTCTGTGACACTCCATCCGGGTGGTTCCGCAGATTGATTGGGGAACTTGTTTTAAGTGAGGATTTGTCAAGTCCCAAGTCCTCTCTTGCGTCCTTCCACAAGCCCAGTCACAATTGTCAGCTGAAGGCAATGACAAAGGAAGTGCTTATGTCAGAGTTCGTTTTGATAGTTTGTGGCTTCGACCGGGACCGGATGACTGTTCACTTGCATGGAATTGTGACAAATAAAATCACAGCCCTAATGCAGACTGATTGCGCCCGATAAGTCACGCGACCTACACTGGGTATTATCAACAAACATGGCGTCCACCAAAAGCAAAGTGCGTCATAAGTGTTATTTACCAAAAATAAAGTCAACGGTAGGTACTGCACTCGGACTACTGATGTGCTGGTACTATATTGCAACTTGGCTGTATTGTTTATAAACAACACTTGCACTCAAAACACACGTTGCTATGGGGTTGATACCCACCATAGGTCACAAGATTTAGTGGGCACAATCAGTCTATTGCGGGAATGTGGTTTTAGGTGGAGGTCAGTCCAGGTTAGTTATTGGACACCCAATTTGATGAAGGTGCTGAGCACAATTACTAGGCACAGGCTTGTGCATGTTATGTAAAAGTTCATGCCCTGCAAAAAGATAAAGGACGTGTTCGCTTTTTTGTGAGGGAGGATGTGACATCCAGTGTTGTTCTTGAGTCCATCACAAGTCCTTTCACAAGCCCCTTCACAAGGCCAGTTGTAAGTAGGGTGAACAATGACAAAGGAATGCTTTTGTCACAGCTTATTTGAATTGCTTGTGAATTGGCTTCAGACTGAACGACTTGTGATGGACTCGAAGACAACACTGGTGACATTGATTTTGTTTTGTTACAGTTTGAGTGAGAACCAGTCACTTCTGGTCATGCCGCCCTGGTCCAACATTTGGCTGATCGGAGCCATCATCTTGTCCATGGGTCTTCACTTTGTCATCCTCTACGTTGACATCATGTCTGTAAGTAGTCGGTCCAGTATTATTATGTAAGTAGATAGAAAAATGGAACTACAAGTGATATGACTTAATCTTGTTTAGAATCGTGGTATGGAATTTTTCAAACCTTCTGTATTATGATAAGGACATGGATTAAAATATTCTGTTTCAATAGATGTACACATTGAATTCTTTGTAAAGTCAGGCATTTTTAAAAGTTATATGTAAATGTGGGTTTTATTGTATGTTACCAGTAATGATTTTAGTTGTGTTCCCAAACACTGTTTTGTTTTATGGTTGCTCAACAGTATCGAAATGTTTTGTGACTGTCCAAATGTGTAGCATTGGCTTTTTGAGACCAGACACAGTGATGTTGCCCAGTATTTGGTTGGCAGTTGTATTTTGATAGTCGTAAGTGTCTGTATATGGTCCCAAGCTATTTTGAAATGGAATTGTTTATCCATTGGTCTTCTTTCTGACTTCCACCCCCTATTTTGGCATCCAGAAGTCAACCTGCTGGACACAGAGTGTGACTTCATTACGTTTTGGGTAGTGCATAGAATGCTTACCAACATATCAGACAGCCCAGATGGCTCAGTGAAGGTTGGGAAATGGCCTGGAGCCGTTTCATTCAGCCATCAGTATTGAAGGCAACAAACAGGGCTTCATCTGGGATTCAAATATGCACCTGTCTTTTCTCTTACAATGTTAAAATCCACCTGTTCTCTCCCAGCAAAGTGATACCCTTGATTCTATATAAGCCCCTATTTCCATAGTGCCTAACGCCGTGGATTGAGTTATGAAGATTTATTCACATTGTTAAAGATTTGTGAAATAGATGGTTGTTTGCAAATCTTGTACCAGCAAAAACTGCAAGCCCTGAATGGCTGCATGAGACACTGGCAACAAAGTCAACTGTTCGACTGATTAATACCACTGACTACCATCTTTGCTTGGCAGACTGTATTCCAGATCACGCCCCTGGACTTCACCGAGTGGATGGCTGTCTTGAAAATCTCCTTCCCTGTCATCCTGCTTGACGAGATGTTGAAGTTTGTGGCCCGCCGCACCAATGACGGTAAAAGCTATTCCGTGGGCCTGCACGGGCTGGTGGCCGGTGTGGCCATAGCCCTTGCTGTCCTCTACCTCCTCCCCATGTAAAAAAAAAAAGAGGATGTTTTGCTCCTCACATACTACTACTTTGGTTTTAATTTATTCCATTTTATTTTTGTTAAGATTGTTCTTTTTTCATCTTCTTATTGCTCTCTTGCTGCCGTGCCGCAATCACATAACTTCTTGTCATTCACATCATTTTTTTTTTCTCTGAGTTATTTTTGTTGTGGGCTTTGTTTTGTGGGTGGGTGGCTTGCCAAGGTGTGTGTGATTTGCATTTTGCACACGAGAGAAGTTACGGTAAGAAGCCATCCTTGTTCATCCCCCAAGTTAGCATGCCAATGAAATCAATTTTTTGTACACTTCAGAAATGTAATGAGATGATTGGGTCTTACCAGTAAAAAGCTGTTCACAGGAAATGTCTGAGGTTGTCACAAATGTTAAAAAGTTGATCAGAATGAAATTGATGGGAGCAAATAAGTGGACCAGAAAAAGGACCTATTCTCCCAAAAGGAGAAAAAAATACTTGGCTATGTTCAGATTGGATATAAAGGGTGAAAGGTGAAAGTTATCCTTGGAGATAACGGTGCCTCCCAAAAAATCTGAACCACAGACTCACTATCGCTTCTTACCGAGACAGACTTGTGGTGCGCTGGATTCATTGGTTTGTTTTGCATGAGGGTGATTGTGTTTTGGATTAATTTGGTAGATTGACAAGAAGAGGGGCCATCTCCCCCCCTCCCCACACCTGGTAGACGAAGCACCTAATCATTTACACCATTGGCTCTTTGACTGCGTAAGACAGGGTACTAGACCTTAAGTGCAGGAATGTTTGCACATTAACCAAAATATTAAACCAACCCACAGTTATGACTGATAATTGTACTGGAAAGTCTGTCTTCAAAAGAAATGGATTAACCGACTTTGATAGATGATTACAAATGAATAGAGAAAAAGCTTCCGACAGCAGTTTCGAGGCGTAAACTTCTCAAAGGCATTTTTTTGTCACTCATAGTCCCTTCCAGGGCAAGCTTAGCTGTTTGATACCCTGACTTAGGCAGACGGAGGTCACCTCACCCTCACTCTACAGAGCACCGTAGCTGTGTACCTGTCTGTACGTGTACTCACGCCACACTCTCTTGTCATTTTCTGTAGCTTCTGCTTTCAGAACACTGACCAAAGCTCGAACAGCTGCTGATCGGTAGCCTTTCAGGGGTCGCCGAGGTTTTGGTCGATGTTCAAGTTTTTTTTTTCTGGTTCACCTTTGGTGCAGAGAGACAGGTGACAGCGCAGGGGGAAAAATAATCACAAAGCTAAGTGGGTAATCCTGGGTTTTGGGAATGTAAGGACGTTCTGGTGGTGTATGTTTGTTAATGTTTGATATCTGCTTTAATAGGTAAGATTTTATAAGAGAACAGTAATTCTAGTATTTATTCTTCTGACAAGGAAAGTTAGGGATTTGAAGCTGTTAAGTGCAGATTTTTAATATGGTTCGTGTTGTACAGCAGCATACCATCACATGTGGCTTGTTATTTAATCACTCTGTAATGATACATTTTATTCTTGGCTTTGTTCCATTCAAAACCTCTAGTAAAACATTTGAATGCTGTAAATTTGATGGCTTTTTCCAAAGAGGCGTCTCCGTCAACTGAAAATTGACAATGTTTTCTCACTGTAACTTGCTTTAACTGGATATCAACATGGAAGGAGACCCTTTGTTTTTCCTTGCAGTCAACATGGTGCACTACGTAGATTTACCATTCTATATTTCTGGGCTTTTTGGACAACTTTTGTAAGTGTCCAGATTTTGGTTTTTGCCCCCCTTTTCCAGTAGTTATTTAGGCATCGAATCAACAAATATCTTTTGACTTGGCATCTGTCAATAGTTTTGAAATCTCAAAACAAAGAAATGAATGAAGTTCCCCTAGGTGATTAGAATTTACAGTTTTCCTGAGTGGTTCACACATGCAGGTATTTATTTATTGCGATTTATTTTTATCATTTCCTTGTTCTGTTCTTCGATGGCGGGCGGTAAATAATTAAGGAGATGTAGAAATGTATTTGACTAGTTACCCTTTATAGTAGAACCTGAATCCTTGCAAGTCATTCAGATTTCCTCTAAAAGACATTTTTCTGAATATATCACCCTGAAATGGAAGACAATTGCAGGAAATATTCTTTTTTAGTCAGAAACATTTCAATAGTTGTGAATTTGGTCGAGTCCCCTCCCTGTGAGACAAAAAGAAATGTCGTTTCGTCTGTGCTGTGATTGCAGTTGATTTTATTGAAAATAAAAAAAAAACTGATTGTTTTTATGTACACATAAAACCATTCTCGTTCTAACCCTGTCGTTCATCAGTCAGTTCCTTGTCGAGTTGGTACACGTGTAACACGTCCTTGGTTATAAAGCCCCTTCGCTTGCATATACGCCGATTGGCAAGTGCGGGCCGAAGAGAGACTAACTTGGAGTCCTGGCACGCGTTAACACTATCAGGAAAAGCTATTATTGACCTCGCTTTTTTTGTGGGAGAGTCGCCTTGAAAGTAGAGATGAGCTCAGCTTTTCCCATCATTGGTCAAATGACCCAGCAGTAGCATAGACTGCACCATGCCATACTGCACTACTGATAGTTATTAATCCATTACAGAGTAAGCAGCAACTCAATTCCGCAGCTCAGATACAAGACTTCATTATGGGGTACATGCCCTCCTATCAAGTGAGCTTGTCGGGAAATCCGAGGAGTGTTGGATGTTTTTGTAGGAGGGTTTCATTCAGAATCGTTAAACAGACTGGCAGTATACCTATCTCGTTCAATGGTCGTATCGAGGTCAATATATATTCTACCTCTCCTAAAGTTCTCTCTAATATTGTAGCTAACGGTATACACTGAACCACAAAAAGTCCATCCCTGTCACTGCAAAATACGTTAGTTTGACAAGACTTCTCTAAAAGGTTGAAACAGCGATGGATGTTTTCGTTTTCTAGTTCAACCAAGAGCATGCAGACCTTTGGTTACTAATTTGAACCATCGTTTCATTTTCAAACCACACATAACGAATCAAAATCTATAACTGGACTCGTCACTTCTGCATAAGCAAGATGGCGTGTCTGGGGTCGTGTACTTTGCCCGGTGGGCAACTGAGGCCAGTGGTTTTGATGTGAAGTCTTGTTTTGCTTATCAACAGCATATCATTACAAAGTTACCTTCGGATGTAGTACAGTTTTCATTACACGACAACTTAACCTTCGGTGGCATAAACTTACTGCACATAGTACTTTTTAGAAACATTAACACGACACTTTATAATCAAGAGAAGGTGGAAGTAAAATTGCCTGCGGGCAATTAACAATGCCGATTTGGTGTGTTTAGTCTTCATAGCCTTGCTGTATCTTGAATAATCAAAACGAGATTTTAGTGAATTGTTTTGATTTGAACTTGGGATAATTGGTATGTAAAATAGCAAAGCGGTAACTTGCAGTTCAGTCATGTGTATTTTGTGTAGACATTTTTGCGCTGAATGCAGAAACACAAGACTGAACCGTTTCATAGTTTGTCAGTTTGAACGAGAAAAACTGCTTGTAATTTGTTGCTCGATGCAAAGAGATAGTCATGTGGTGTGACCTTTAAAACTTTTGGTTTGTGTTGCATACCAGCGACGTAGCTGATGGGCCCAAACCAATGTTATGTAATAGCTGTATGCTCTCCCAAAGATGTTTGTATCAACTAGCGAGTGATTTGCCGATAATTGAAGCACCGTGGCAAAAATTCCAGTTATATGTAATACAACTTAACTGGTTGATTCTAGCCATTTGTCACCGGTTGCGTCAATACCATAACGGTTACGCGTAAGAATCGACAGAAACGATTTTGAAGATAAGAAAACAGGTGTGTGTATTTGTGATTGTGACGTCATAGTTCTTTGTTCCATCTGCACGAATTCCACCCGGTAGCCATTTTTTTAACTTTCACAACCCCATTTATGCGGGAGAAACAACTGTTTATGTACTTGCATGCTATATTAAATATTCATACGCCTAATGCATGCTAATGAACTTTTTCGGCTTTTCAGATTAATTTCTGTTTTTCATTTTTTTGTTTTTTATTAAATTGAGCACTGCACATCTAGCTCTGCCTGTGGCTAGAAATCTAACCCAGTCCATACTTTGCCGACTTGCACGCTTCCTTCTGATAATAGGACCTAAAGTTTAAATGTATAGTTTATTTCAGTTTTCCTAGCGAAAGAACGAAAGTAAAATACGTATTTCTCTTTTAGGAAAAAAGTGCACAATAATTGCAGTTGCACGCAATGGCATGGACACGATACGCGCATATTTTACGCGGCACAACTGTTACAAATTTGTTTGATAGGAGGACAAAGAAAACGACACTTTCTTTTTCTTTCAGTTCCTGCATTTTTTTGCTTCAAAAGTCCACTTCTAAAGCGTATCCCCGAGAATGGAAAACTTAAGGCTAACGCTTGAAGCTTGTAAAAGTAGCCTCGCAGTTTTCTTTGCATCATCAGACTTTCCTGAAATTATTCTTTACCGGTACCTCCCTGTTCCGCTTGCTTGTCTCCTGAACTTTCCATGGAAATTTATGTCCCAATTGTTAAACTGAATTATTGTTTTGTCTCCCACAAAATGGAAGGCTTTATTAGATTTCAGCATTTGGGTGATATTTATTCATTCACACAATCCGGCCCCGATAAAATAATAACTCCATTTTTCTCGACTTTCCACCCATTTAATATTTTAACTATGGATTTCTCTCGTCAAAAAACGTCGCCATGTTTGATCGCAAACAAATTTTAGACTATCCCATCGTTCAAGCAGTACGTGCAGTTGATGAGTACACGTAGATTGACATTACGTTTACATTAAGGTAAACTTATCCCAGCACACACAGAATCACTTCAATTTTTGCTAAACCCTCTCACGGTATGAAAGATATGCATGTTTACGTTGCAGAATGAGCACTTCCTGTGTACAACGCTGACTGTCCTCGTTTCCCGTCGATCAATCTATCAAATTGCGCCCAAAGCTTGGGGGGAGAGAGCATGCCGGAACGGCAGAGAAAATAAAGTCCGACTTGGACCATCTTCAGTACTGTAGTCGAGTCCAGTAGAAGTCTTCCACTCGACGAGTTGCCTTTGTTACAGTTCATTTGACTGTAGCTTGTTATTGGCTGGAGACTGGATGACCTGCTGTGGACTCGACTACATGTGCTGACCAGACTGCTCAGAAATCTTCCCAGATAGAAATTAATTCCAAAGGGCAATGGGTTTTCGGCTAGATTCCGGCTGAATAGCCAACTGCAATTGCTAAACTTGCCGAGCCATGTTGCCAGAGTGCAGCAGGGCTCCCGAGGTTTACTGGATTTGTCATGTTGCAGACGCGCCGTGAAGACGCAGTTCATCAGGCGTGAACACGCCACTCCGCTCCGACAGCTTCACAAACCGACGGTATTCACCAATTCAGCCGGATCGAAGTGACCGTAATTGTAAACGCGTTCATTATGGGCACTTGTTGCCTGCTGACTCCGGGAAACCATTTCCAGAATCATTTCAATTACTCAATTCCATAATTTCGCAACTCAGTGAAGCTGCAGAGATTAAAACGTTATTGAAAGTTCGCATGGAGTGTAAGAAATCAACAAAACAAACCCAAGAGTACTATTCATCCAAGGTCGCAATGGACTATAGCTTGAAATATTTTTATGTTCTCAGTATAATACCCCCCCCACCTTGCTGAAAGTTACGACCTTTTAGCACTTACCCTGTTTCCTGCAAATTGTGTCGAAGGTTTGAGCCAGTACCCCTTGAAAATGTGCTAGGCCTCCAAATTTCCAAACTGAACTAAAGCCGGTGCCACGTCCCAACTTCCGTAATTTTGCTGTTAACGCTTGGAAATTGGATAGACTAGTCTGCTGCCACCAAGCAACGTGTTAGGGGCCAGTTGAGTTTGTTGCAGTTGGCTGACTTGGTTTTCGCGTGTGGGTAATGTATGTATTCCTGGCTTTGTATAAACAGCACCGGCGCTGCACAGTAAGACCGACTGATCGCTGACGACGATCGCTGACCGAACCGTGGATACAAGATACCGTGCACCAGAGGGAGCTCGTACAACTCACCATGCACTTGAGGGAGCTGGCATCATTACGCATGAACTGAACACGTGGTCAAAACCAAGCCGAAACGTGAGAGTTGACCGCGAACCAGCTAATTTCACTGGTATTTTGCTATCCATAACGAGTTCATCATTGGATGACATCACCATGACGTCAGCCAGTGGTCACACAAGGTGCCTTTTTGATCCAGGAGAATTCACTTTTTCCGTAGCCTTCGGGAAATCAATATTAGGTGTTTGGGTTGGTAATTATAATACAGATGCTCGTTTTCTTTTAAAAAAAATCACTTTTGTATGTTGACAAGAAATTTAGTGTGTGGTTCGGGAACATGTGGGTATTTTTTAAACAGTGTACAAAGCCCATCATTAACACCAACATAGGGTTTAATGGACTTATCACGAGTGGGTAGGTGCTATGGTATTTTGTAGTTGAGTGAGTACTAACGTTGTTCAAAAATGGAATTTGTACGCTAGTGCTATTTTTGCCTCTGAGGAACAGTATCAAATGGTTTCTTTTTTTCGCGTTAATTTTTGGTTAAACTTTACATCGAAAAGCTGGCATCCATTTTCAGCCATTATGCTGATTGAAACCTAACGTGGTGGCAGCATTCGTGTCCATTGTTCATCGAAGTCCATATGACCGGGAAAGACAACGATAGGTAGTGAATTCGTAACCACCATGCAGAAATCATCTGTACGCGTTGGAAATACATTGAGAAAAGTGGTCAGCAGCGACTCTGCAACCAGTCTTGATCATAATCGCAGCACCGATTCTCATGCTCTCCAAAACCATCGTGATAACAAAGGAAGTGAGAAATTTAATTCCAAGCAGACGTCTTAAACAAATATCCTCGGCAAGCCGCTGCCTTGACTAGTAAAGTCGTCATATTCCTTTTTACGTACTTCGTTTTATGTCCCACGAAATTGTCAAAGTAATTCGGCTGACCAGTTTGTTTATACCAATATGTGTGTAAATTTGTGTTTTTCGTATCAAACGGCGAAAGCTTGTTTTTGATATAATTTGACTTGTCAAATCGCCTTATTACTTAATTTGTTGGAATAAACCCCTTTTCATACGAGTTAAACCAGCAGAACCACTTAACATCATTTGCGTTTTAGAGGCCCTGCGATATTTTAACAAAGGCCTGCATAAATTGTTTATGTATATAATGTACATAAACGTAAAGGCTATTTAAGGAAGTGTGATAAATTCCTGCTTCATTTCAGGAACAGTAACGTGTTGTTTGAAAATTGAAGATTTTTTAATTTAAGAAATTTCTACCTCCCCCCGATCGACATAGCGCGCTACTACAGAGTGTTTATTTATTGATAGTGTTTTTTTTTGGTTTTAGATAGTCTTGCAGTCTTGTTCAGTTAATTTTTATTGTCTGTTTAAAAAGCACAAACATGACCAAATTACACAGTAAATTCTCGCCAGAGGAGTTGGCAGAGGAGTTGAAACGCCATAGAAACCGTGGCATTTACTTTACACCTTGTAATATCCGCATGAAACCACCCTATGCGCAGTGTTCACATAACACCAACACTCGCCTGTCTCTGTTGATAGTTTGTGCTAAGTTTGAAAGAGGAAAACGTGGTAAGCCATTTCATGCCTTCAACAAAGTCTTTTGTTGGATCGACTGTAAACGATAGATTTGATTCAGGAAATCGACATAATTATTTCCTTCTTGTTTGAATGTCTCAGTCTCATGATTAAGTTCCATTTAAACCTAGTCGCACGTTCGTGGTTTAACGGTTTTCATCTAAGTGGTATTGGCAGTGTTTTAGCCTATGCTATTCCATTGAAAAACATACGTTTGTTGCACCTTCGCGTAGAAATTTCACGAAATTTTGTTTGGAATTACTGAATTTGTGTAAAGTGTTCAATATAATTTTCTGTATTAGTGTCATTTGATGGACTTGCGATTTATGAAGTATAGTTTTGTTGTAATTTTTGTACATATTAATTTCACGGCCTTGATTGCTACGGTTACAGACCAAAGGTGGGTGTCCATTGGTTTTTCGGAAGAATATGTGGTTGCCAAGGCCAGTTTTGTTTTAAAAATTACTTAACAGGTTTTGCGCATTCCCAGACTACAATTTTCTAAGTTTTAATACTGCTACCAAGGGGACTCAGGCACTCAATCGCACATCGCGGGCGCTTCCAAGATAGCTGAAGTTTGGCCCTACTTTCTCAGACGTCAAATTGCATACACTCTTACTTGAGTCATGCAAACCTCTTCTAATTTGTTGGTATCCATCCGCGCTTCTGGCTTACCTTACACGCCTTAGCTTCTGGACTATGCAAAAATTCCCCCGCTGTATTCATTTTTGATTTGATAACGCTGTTTAACACACGATTTTCGATTGGACACGTGTACCCTCGGGTCGATTCATTTTAAGCTGGGGATGACATGGCCCACATTTTACGAAATGTTTCATTTATCACATTTTAATGTTTTCATCTTGTTTTTTCTTTTTCCTGGCCACATCAGGGAGGTGTATTTGGTTTGTACATAGTAGTGGTTGTTTATTTCGTTCACCGTAGGCCTATACATGGTCTTTTATTTTAGCGATTTGTTGGGGCAGAGTGATATTTGAATGTGGATTGTTAATCTTAGTGCCAGAGACAAATCACTTCGACACTGGTACTGCGTAGCATTTCCTTCTAGCACGCGGCCATGATCGAGGTTGACTGTAATTGAGTTGTAAAATAATCTTTTGTAATAATTATAATATAATGCTTGATTATGGAAAGTATAGAATTTCACAATGTAGTTTGTTTGGTAGTTTGCCAGATCATGCGCCCATTCTCGTTAAATGCTGAGCAGAATTGGCGGTCCGTGTACACAGGGCGCACAGTCTCTCCATTGCACGTGCATATATATCTCTACACAATGCAGCCGTATTTACTATCGGGTTTGATGCATGCGTGGTGTATTCTGTACACAGTGCACATCTTGGTTAGTCCCCTGACCGGAAGCTGAATGTGCAACTTAATGTCGTCAGTGCTGTTTATGTTTATGTCTGTTCGGCAAATTACTCCCACTCAGCAATACAAACGTGTGTACATGTATTAGGTTGTTCTTTGTTAGCTTGTTTTAATAACTGGTATTGTTGCTGAGAGCGCACAAGTTTATAAAAGCAGAGGATTCCACCCACGATGCTCATCGCTTTTGCGTTGTTGTGAGATGATGTTGACTAAGCATCATTTCCGCTTATTCACCTATCGACATCAGCCATCGATACCGGATAAGAAGTACGCCGCGCTAAGGACCAGTTTTGGCGTTTTGAGAGAACACGACACAGTGAGTTGCACAGCTCACATTCTCGCTTGTCATACTGTTGTGCTTACGCGCGACTAGTTAATATTGCATTTTACCTAACATTTCCTGTTTGTACCGAAATATTAGGTGAGCCCGGTGCATCAGTTGCCGAGGTATTAACGTCCGATTAGGCTTTCTTCTACTGAGCCTTGTCGAGTTTGTAGCGCTTTTTCGGTAAACAGTTTAGTCATTCTCAAAATCTTTAGAAAGGCTTGTTGAAACGGCGTGTTATGATATACATCTTGAAGTATGCATTGGATGGTTTCGTACAACAGTTTGTGAATTGACTGAATAAATTATTACCAGTTAAGGGTATAATTTTTACCGCAATTTGATGTATACGTGTGGTATTTCTTTGCTGGTAGCATTTTAACAAGGGGGAAAAAATTGGCTTTGGATCCGACCAGACATGTTTCATCCACGCGAATAATTGAAAAAATGACTTGGGCAGCTTGTTTACTCGAATAATAGTTAATATTGGGAAAAAGGGGAATCGGCAATTATAAACAGGTACCGTATTGTGTAAAGCCTTTTTCCCATCACAAATTGGACTGGGAGCAGGAACAAGGGAGAGAACGAGAGACGCTACACAGCACGGTATATTTTAAAAACAGGTTCTTCGAGTCCGGAGATGCGCGCTTACGCAGAACCGAAAAGAATCGAAAGCTGACATCGAAGACAAATTCCCAACCTGCCGCGTTTAATGTACAACACGTGCGAGTGACATGAAACCGCTAAGCTCATTTGCATGACAGATTAAAAGTTACACAAATTAAGCTTTTGTTAGTGAAATTCAGTTACAACTCTTCCTTTTTAATGCAGGCATTACAACTATGTGATACCTATGACATGACCGATGTAGAATATGATGTCCCCACCACCACCACAGGTGCCATTATTTTCTGTAAGTACATGTATAGGTCATATTTAACAATATTTCCAAGCCACTTTGATGTTCACACCTGGAATTTTTAAACAGTGGTGTCAGTGATTCACTAAACCTTAAGAGGGCGCTAGTTTTAAACCCAGAAGGGGGTATTTTCAATCTGGCACTAAATTTAAATTGTGCAGTCCTTGAAACTTATGAAGTGTCCTTAAACTCGTGGAGCGAAAGGGAAGGTAGGTGGACTAATTTAATATGCCTCAACGCCGACTATTTTAAGAGATCTTTTGATTGGCTATCTCTAAGAGTAAGAGAAGATACATTACTGCAAAGGCCTTTATTTAAAATGGTAACAAATGATTATAAATCCATATTAAATTTCCTGACTTCATATCAACCTCACGTAAATTTAAAAAAATATCCTCAAATCAAACAACTGCACTTGGTATGGTTTCTGTTCAAGGCTCCGCCCTATCGAACATTTTTGTGCACTCTGCATCACTCACATGTACATAGTGCTAAAGGTGTTCATTTTCGCCAGCCCGAGGCAGCATGTACATGAGTAGGGCAAGGTTTTTTTTTCATACTCGTGATCATATCAATTCATTTAAATCAAGCCACTTTCAGTATAAACAAAATGTTATTTTGTAATTTGTTTGAAAATTAGCTGAAGCAGCTCTTAAAGTAGATAAGTACACTGTACATTCTAACACCAACATTAAAGGCCCGCAAATGACCTCCATACGAATACTACTTTCCAAATTCGCAGTATCCTAAGATGGCCCATATTATTTGATTTAGTCCTTTGGGCTCTTCACATTTATGTACCGGTGTGGCTCTACCGAAGGAAAACTGACTGGTGCCAGTGACTGCGGGGGCCGGGCGGGTACATTATGCATAAGCGTATTCCGGGTTGTCGGACACCTCCTGCTCCAAATTATTCCTGGCCCTGTCACTTGTGTAGCTCAGAGCGGCCCCACGTTGCTGGACCAAAGCTTCCGATTTCCCCTTCCAACCATTTGCCTGATTCCCCTTCCCTTTCCGGTTTACGTTGGAGTACGTGTGCGGCTCCCCCGGGAGAACCTCAGCCGGAATCCGCCCTGGCAGTTCAGGCAACGAATAAGCGTGTTCGGGGCTGTCGGAAGCTGGCTGTTCGTAAACGTGAAGCTGCGTATCGGGTTCGGGCTTAGCATCTAAAGTGAAGAATTTTAAGACGTGTATATAACTCTAAATAATGACAATATATGCACTCTCAAACAGACATAACACCATGTACAAAAAGTGTGATACGATGCTGACGACACTGACTTGTACAAAACAGTTCTGTTTGAACTCAAGTCTGGTATTTTTGTCTCAGCGCTTAAAGAGGTGCAAAAAGTAATTTCTTGTATAATGATAATGTGCATTTTGGAAACATTAAAGGGTTCAGTTAAACATTCAGGAACATCACCACTGGCATTAAACAATTCTGTATAATTTATTTCGAAAATGTTTTCTGAGTTGAAAGGTAACTTTTATAACTTACAGTCTTGATCCAATTCGTTAGCAGAGCTTTGGCCAGTTTTTCTTTTTTCACAAAACAAGATATAAAGAACAAAAACACAAACTTTGTAGAACCGGTTGTGATAAACCGTGTATTTTTAAAGCAATTTTATGCCAAAATTAGCATACTTGAAAGAAAAAAATCACAACAGGACGCTGGAAAAATCAAAATCTTGTCAAAATTTCTGTCTTGAAATGTTTTCGAGAGATGACCGAATTGGTTTTTGTAATGCACAAATATTAGGGATTTGCTTTTTCATTTATATGACAGTATGCACTGATATCTATCTACATTTGTCTTTTATTATGTAGATTTCTCTCACAAGATGCTGTCTTCGTAAGAAATTACAGCTACGTATTCAATACCATCAGGCGCGTATGCAGACAGTGTGCAAAATATGCTCTACACGCGCGTGCGGTTATCCAAATATCCTTGAAATACGCTGTAGCCCATGCGCGTCTCGAAAACATGACGTCCTAAATGTCAATGCACGTGGTAATCCGCTCCGAGTGGGAACAAAAGAGGGGAGGGCGTGTTTTCAAATGAATTAAGTCTCTGTCTTTGGTATAAACTCACCACATAGGCGCGCACGTTTATGAGCGTATGACGCGGAGCACATTGAATACGCACAACGAATTTATTTTGGAAATATATGTTGCACGCCGAATGCGTGCAAGAACCCGGTTGGAAAACTTTGTACCAATCGCAGGTGAGAATGCACTTCAACTCAGGTCGGATAGACCCATTCGGTTCAGTTAGATGCAGCGTCTGAAATTGGCTCAAGCAAAAGTTCTCTACATAGTACATATATTAAGTTGAGGACTGCTGCCCTTTCTCCGTCAAAAGCAGGCAGTAATCCCCTTGTCACAGTAGCGCCCCAGATGTAACACCTGCCCCATACATAGTTAACAGCCCGTCGGTCGTCGGCCCCCGCGGTAGCTTCAGATCAGAATACGCGGGGATCATACATGCACTACTAGTAATGTGGTTTATTGCATTACATGTCGTGGCTGTGGTAAACTGTACATCGGAGAGACCAAGCGTCGCCTTGGTGACCGCTTCGCGGAACACTTGGGCAGTGTGCGCCAACAAACACTTGGTCTCATTGTTGCGCAGCACTTTTGTGTGCGCCGCCACGTACCCTCGGTGACGTAAGCGTCTGCATCCTGCGGAAAGGGTCATCTGATGTACAGCGTAAGGAACTGGAGCAGCGCGTCATTTTCGAACTCGGAACGCTGCATCAAGGGGGAATGAACGTGGATTTTTCCGCGTTCATTCAGAACTGAATGTGCCTGCCTTGAAGAAGGTACTCAGTTAACGAAAGCTCGGCAATCACATATTTCATAGCGCTTATTTGATATTATATTCTTGTCGATATTCTGATCACGGTGCTACGCAGCCCTTTCGTATTGCCCTTTCTCCAGAGTTGTTTTACAGCGGGACCAAGAGAGGGCGCGATTGTCTTAGCAACAGAGGCTCCTTTGAAAAGAACTCCATTTCGCTGGTTCACGAACGACTGATACACAGGAGTTGCGTATGCATCGCTATCAAAAAACCGAACACTCCTCAACGGCATGGCTCTTCTCAACCGATGAGGGTTGCTTCTGCTCAAGGCGGAGTATGTCCACTGATTTGACGCACGCCTTGCTTATTGTCTATTTTGTACGGTTTGTCCTACGTAGCAGTAGAAACAGGACATGTCGACAACTCAACACGAAATGGAGTCAAAAGGGGAATATACGATGAGGGTCGACGGTCCGAGAGAACTTTCACAGATCGACATAGAGGTCAAGTGCCCTATCTCTTTACTCGCTTATTTTTCTCTTGTGGGCCTTGGCATAGCACGCCGTTACTTCTTAGGCAGCCAGTACGGTGAAAAGTCCTAGCAAGCCAAGAAAGGAGGCAACTCCAATGACAATGGCTATGACGTTTGATGGACTGGCCGGAGGTGTTGTTTGCTCGTCGGCAGTCCCCGGTTGTACACCCGATGTCTTCGTTACCTGATTATCTGCTGTCGTGTGCTCTCCACCCGGTGTCGTGGGAGAGGCAGTCGCTGTGGTTTGCTCATGTGATCACCCATAGTCGATTGCGTCAACTGGACTGAAGACTTTGCAATAGTTGCTATTGTTGTTAGGTGGATGCCCTGGCAACTTTTTTTTTTTTTCCAAAACCAAAGAATTTAGCCAGCGATATACTTATAATCTCAAAACTTAAAACCCACACTATCCAAACACCGAAACTGAGCACTTTGGTCGTAAAGAGACTGCATCATTTCCATTGCCTGTATTTTTTTTTACTTAGGCCTACCTTGTAGTTGTCAAGTACCATGGTCCTCCATTATTTCGGCAGGCACAAAATGGCGGCCGGGATGCGAAGCTTGAGTACACACATACATCACCACGACCAAGTCCTTCGTAGAAACACACAACTGCATCGCTGTATAAGCAATACGGAGTTTGTCTTCTGTATAACTCATCAACACCGAAACTGCAGTGGTATGGAATGACAGAGCCAAGGCAAGACGAAAACATCTGTTTAGTGGGATATTTGGACGGACTGTATAGGTGTATAGTCGCAGGGATGCATCAGGATTTGTGGAGTCCTACTGATCCAGTTGAAGAGAATTAGGCGCGTGAATCGAACGGTCAAATCAAGGCAGAACTGCATGGAATGTATAGTTTCTGCACCACGTGATGTCTACAGCAAAAGGTCACAGTTTATAAGAAGAGGAAGGGAAACATTACTTACCTGTCGGGCAGACCAGAGCCACTGGGTTCTGACAAATCGAATTGCAGATGGTTCTTCCTAGAGAGCCTCTCTACATTGGTCACTGTGTAACGATAATGACCAGAAAAAATTCACCCGAGAAATTCATTCATTGCATCGACCACTTGTGGCGGGAAA